TTGCCTAAGTACCATGGACTCGGCCAGGAGAACACCGTCTTCGATGCGGTTACCATCATCGACGACAGCAACACCGCCGGCGCAGGCATGATGCTCTATACCTCGGGAACGACGGCACGGCCGAAGGGTGTCCTCATCCCCGAGACCGCCCTCACCGCGCAGGGCCGCTCTTTGATCGAGGCCTGGAAATATACCCCACAGGACAGACTCCTCCATGTTCTACCTTTACATCATATTCATGGCACCGTGAACGCCATAATCGCCCCCCTCTTTGCTGGGAGTACCATTGAGTTCCTTTTCCCGTTTAACGCGGATACCGTATGGCGGCGGTTCGCAAACCCATTTCTCGAATCTCTCAGAACGGACGAGATCCCCAATATCACCCCCAACCCACCTCCAAAAGGAGTCGCGTACATATCTCTACCCAGTGCGCTAAGCCGCACCGTCTCCGAAACTGGAGGCACGGGCGCTACAACCCCCGTGAGCGTAGACGCATCGCTGTCCCCCGCGGACACGACCAGGATCAGCCAGATCGCTGCAGAAATATACGGCATTATTCGCTTGGCGTCCGGGCCCAATGGCTCCCCGGAAACGACAGGCGCGGTATTATCTCCTCAGGAAATCACCAGGATCAGCCAACTGACTGTTGACCTGAACGAGGTGGTCCGTCCCGAGGCCCCTCGCTCCATCCCACTCTCCAGCCGGGGGACACATGCGGAAGGCAATACGAACCTTTCCCCCTCAGATGATAAATTTGCGAACATGAGTAAAGAGATAATAACATTCTTCACTGTCGTACCAACAGTCTATACGCGCCTGCTATCTACACATAAAGCCTTATCCCCCGATATTGCCGAGGCTGGCCGCTTAGCCACAAGCCCCGCGCATATGCGCGTCGCCATATCGGGATCAGCCGCACTCCCGACGCCGGTAAAGCGGGCCTGGAAGGATCTCAGCCGAGGCAATGTCCTCTTAGAACGCTACGGCATGACCGAGGTCGGCATGGCGCTCTCCTGCGGTCTCGAATTCGCAGACCGCGTAGACGGCAGTGTCGGCTGGCCGCTCCCCGGGGTCGAGGCGCGCCTCTTCGACACCGACACCAACGAGATCATCCCCCAAGACGAAGTCGACCGGCCTGGCGAGATCCAACTCCGCGGTGCCAACGTCTTCAGCGAATACTGGGCCAACCCCACAGCCACGGCCAAGGAATTCCTCCCTGGCGGCGACGGTAAAGGGCCCTGGTTCAAGACCGGCGACGTCGCCGTGCGCCGCATCGTCCCCGCTCCTGCCGGTAGCGGTGCCAGCGGTCCCTGGGCTAACGGACCCATGTACTTCATCCTAGGCCGGCAGAGCGCCGACATCATCAAATCAGGCGGGGAGAAGGTGTCGGCACTCGAGGTCGAGCGCGAGCTGCTCTCGCTCCCCGAGGTACTCGAGGCCGCCGTCCTCGCCGTGCCGTCGGGCAAATGGGGGCAGAAGGTCGGGGCCGTCGTGATCCTCGACCGCACCATCTGCCCCGAGGGCTGGAAGCCGCTCGATATGCGGCGCGCGCTCAAGGGCCGTCTGGCCAACTACAAGATCCCGCAGGTCCTGCGCCTCGTGGACCACATCCCCCGGAACGCCATGGGCAAGATCAACAAGAAGAATCTGCTGCGCCAGGTATTCTTGGATGATTTCAGTGGCGACGAGATGTGAGGTGAAGTCGCGGACAACAGGTTACAGAGACGGGATATAAATAGGGGGGAAAGGGGGGAGATGGCACGCTCATCATTATCCGGAGCACGTATCCTCGATGAATGATCATCGATGGAATGGTTCGAGTTCGTGCGATGAGCTCCGATCCATGCCTCGATGCGATAATGATTATTTATTATCATGGCTGTGGTTGTTGATGTTGATGTTGATGTTGATGTTGATGTTGATGTTGATGCTGATGTTGTTAGTACCAGTCATACGCATAAGCACGTCGTCGTCGTCGTCGTCGTTGTCATTATCATTGTCATTCTCCTCGTTGTACCCGCGACAGTATGGCAATGGGTAATGGCCATGAGATGTCCGTCGAGATAGGATTTGTATATAGGATATAATCGCATTCAAACATACATTGACATATATACATACCATACATACTGCATACTTAACATACCCACACGCACCCGCACGCGCACACACACACGCATACATATAGGTATATATATTTCTACTTCGAGTCTACATGAGACCTACATGCGTGTCCGTACGTACTCGCCCACCTATTTTATTTTCAATATTTCCTCGCAAGCTCGACTCGAGGTATGATACGGAAAGCTCACATTCCGTTAACTAAGTATTTACATAAGGTAAAGCCCAAGGTATCTCGACGAGGAAGAATGCGTGCGTCGAGCGTGTATGTATATTGTATCTATCAATCAATCCATCAATCAATTAATCAATCAATTAATCAATCAATTAATCAATCAATTAATCAATATACGCATGCGCCAGAACTTCCCAAACCCGGAATCCCATTCACTCACCCAGACTACATCTCCTCGGCAGCACTGCCAATGGGCCTTGCTCAAACTATGCCTAGTATCACTCATGAACCGCGGGGAGCAAAGAGGCTGGCTAGTGAGGGCAGAGACCAGAGAACTCAAAAGGGCCAAGGACACAGATGAATCCTTCAAAGTGGACACTGAAAAATAAATAAATGAGGGCATGAAATTCATTAAACCCAATCCGCGTACGAAAGACACACAGGGCTAATAACTACCTACAACAAACGAGCAGGGTCGAGCTCGGCCATTTTTTGCGGATATGCCCCCATTTGCCCCCCCCTTTCTAGCTATGTCCTGCCCCTGCTGGTGTGAAGATCCCAGTTCCGACTGTGACTGATCAAATTCCGTCTAGCGACAGTAACGTAGAGCATAACCGTTCGCGTACTTCTTTTTTTCTTCATAATATCATTATTATAGGAGAAGGCAAGGCGTGCTTCGCGTATCACACCTCAGATATACATGCCATTCGCCTTTCGCCTTTCGCTCCTCATCATAGATAGCGAGCGAGATGTGGATCGTCGACAATCCCGAGAGTCTGAGCGCGGTTGTCTTTTGAGTTAGAAAGCCCGCCTCGGGCAATATGCCCAAGGGCACCGCCGACGACGCCTGCCCGCGGCTTGTAGGCTAAGCCTAAACAACGAACTTGGCGCGAGCACGAGTGCTGCCGGAATGAGCCGAGTCGGTGTGGCCGGAGAACTCGACGCTCTCGTTCGCCGGCAGCTGGAGGATCTCCTTGAAGCGCTTGCCAATGGAGAGGAGAATCTTCTGGCCCTTCTCGGGCGATCGGCCCTTGCCGCCGGAGACGTCGCCATCACCGCGACCGGGGATGCTCTTGCCGATGGTGCGGGTCCAGACGCCGATACGGAAGAAGGCCTTTCGCACGTTGACGACGACGCCCATGACTTCGCCATCGTCCTCGTCCTCGAGGGTCTCGCCGATGGCGGCCATCATGGTCTGCAGCCACAGCTCGTTGATGTCGATGCTGCCTTTGTTCTTGAACTGATAGGACCACTTGCCGCCGTGCTTGTTCTGGGGGTCCTCCCACTCGGGCCGCACGCCCTCTTTGAAGAGGTGGTAGTCCGACTTCATGGCGAGGTCGGATACGGGAGCGATGTTGTTCTGTATGGGTAGGGAACGGCATGGTTAGTCGATTTGCCCATCCATTGTGAGCAACCACATGGCTCGGTCCTCGCGGAAGACAGCTAGGACGAATAACCTACGTAGATGCCCCAAAACTCTTCGACCGAGTCGAAGATGATGACTTCCTTCAGGAGATCATTCCAGTTGTCGCCCTAGACAGAGAGGAGGAGATGATGTCAGTCGCTGGTGTCAGTGGATGAGGATGCCGTGGCAGAAACAGCGACGAATGCGACAGAATTCAACTCACCTTGCCGCTTGAGGGCTTGGTAAACCAGAGGGTCCATTTGTTCTGCAGAGGGTGTTTGACGGTGAAGTTGTCCTTGTCGTGGAAGACGGTGATGATCTTGCCGTCGACGTCGGCGGAGGAGGGGTCCTCGGGCTTGTCGCCGTTGGGCGAGATGGGGATGGTGGTGAGATCGACCTGCTCAGCCATCTTGAAGGGCACGCGAGTGGGTAGGTTATTGATTAGGTTCGTGGACGGTAGAAACCTGAGAGGCTGCGGGATGGGATGGCGATGGCGAATCTGGCGGGGATGGCGGGGGATGGGCGGATGGCAGAAGTCGGTCGTCTCTGGTCGGAGTGGGAGAGATGAGAGAGGAGGCGCAGGAGGGGCGCTTATGAGAGCGAGAGAAGATGGGATGGGCCTTGCCTTGAGAAGAGGTCAGTACCTACTTCAACACTTTCACTGGGTACTCAAGGTAAGCGAGTAGGTGGGCAGTAGGAAGTCGGTAGCCGGAGAGGAAACAGGCAGGTGGGATGATGATGATAGGTGCGGTCGGGCGACAGCAGCTACGGGCAGATGTCGTTCGTGCTGGGTACACCGTGACGGGCGCCTTCGCGGGACAACATACAAAGCGCTGACTGGATATGATATGATAAAGGTGAGTGCCGATCGGTTCCGTGACGAGGGGCTGTTACTCTAGTAGTCACTGGTGGAGCAAAGAGTGCAGGTCGGTTGGTTGATTGGTTTGTCGCAGATGGATAATACGCCGGTAGGTAGGTGCTTCGTAGGGCTGAGCCGCTCTCTGAATGGCTCGGGGGTTCTGGAAATGGAATTAGAACGAGAAGGGGACTTTGCGCCAGGCAGAGTCGACCGGGAGCTTCGATAACGTTGAAATGTGGTATCGCACAGAGTTGTCGCCGAAGGTAAAGGTGGGAAAGCCTGAGCCTGGTCCCGCTTTTGTGGGCAGAGAAAAAAAAACAGGACTTTAGCTTTGGCGGGTTCTTTAGCCAAAGCGGGTAGTGGTCGAAGCTAGCGTTTTTTCTATGCAGCATGAAAATCATGTACGATTTTGTTGACCAGACAATACACCACAGGCACGTGGTTTGGTAGCTCAGCGGTAGAGCGTGGGATTGCAGATCCTAAGGTCACCGGTTCGACCCCGGTTCAAGCCTGTTTTTTGCTTTCTTTACTAAAGAATTTCACTTTTTATATCCTTATTCATTCTTATCTTTTCACTCCTCCGGCCCTTTTCCCCGGTTATCTCCTTGTGATTCTTTACGGTATACTACTTTTGAACCCACACATTGTCTATCGCCTTCTCCAACGGGATTCTCCATGTAGACAATGCCGCCACACAACATCCTCCCCTATTGCCATGGTACTCACTTTATGCCTGCCTGCCTGTCTGGCAAACAATGGGCGTCGTTTCTTCATATGCCAGATGTACCTGAACGATGCGCCCGACGGTATAGGCGGGGGACCTAACGACTGAGGAGAGATGCAATAGATATTCGGGGCTTTGATTTTCCAGCAGAGCATGTCGCGGCATTTGGGTTAGGAGGTGAAGCATGGTGAAGAGCAAACCGTGAGATTGGACTTGGTGTTTGGACGTCATTTCGAAAAGCTCTGAACTGTACGGCTCATATCTTGCTTAGGAGTTGTCTTGGTTTCGCCAATCAGCCCCTCACCCCCATCGCCAACACAATGGAGCCGGCAGAGTTGCAATCTAAACTGAAGTATGCGATTAGCCTGCGCCGCGAAACAAATCATACCTCATCTTACCTCTTTCTAATCATACGAACGGAGCCTTATCGTTTAACCCCATTCTTACCTACCTAAGTACCTACCCTCACACTGACTTGCGCGCAAGACCTCTAGGAGGCAGATAAGAACAAATGCCGGTGGCGAGTGGGTCGGTCCGGAGCCGCGGTTTCGACAAACCCACAAATGGCAATCCGGGCCTGAAATTTTTGATGAACCCACGCTCACGATAGCTTCATATCGACTGGTCCAAAGCTAATCTGGCGCCCCACTCCCCGCAACTCTTTAAAACCAGCGAACGCCAATCACAACCACCATCTGTCTCTCTTTTGGACTTTCGGGGTCACTCACCAACATCAACTTCCAGTGTCGACAAAAAAAAGGAAAGGGGGCTTGATAGCTTCAATGAGCCCAGCGAGGCGCCCGCTGCCTCCATCGAGCAGCTTACCTCCCCTCCGCTCGCTAAACGACCAGTCTGAGTCTTGCATCTTGTCCGCGTTGGGCGGACTTCACGCTCTCTACTGTCCGTTGCCAACGTCGATAGCTTTTCAAACCAGCTCGGTATACAGAGATCTATCTGCGGCAACGGATTCCGGTTATGCGTCCGACAATGACGAAGACTGTGGGGGAGATGACGAAGGCTTCGAACGCCGCGACGACCCCTACGAGCGTGCCGTCGCCGAGCGCTGGTTGACGGGGTTCCTAGGACGCGTGGAAGAACTCACTTGTTTTGAGCATGAGGACGCGCGACAAGGTGCCATCGACAAGGCATCATGTGTCCTGGCTTCGTTCTTGCATTACGATGAGGGAGGCGATGTCGATGACGCTGACATCACAAGAGACTACCACTTCACGCTGAATCTGGGCCCTCGAGAAGTCGGAGGCCATGGAAGCGACGCCGAAAGCGAAATCATCACGGTGCAGCTCACAGATAGCCTTGCGGGCAGAGATGATACCGACCACACCGATGTGGGACTGCAGAGCTGGGGCGCTGCTTTCGTATTCACCGAGCTCATGTGCGCAACCCCCACGCGTCTAAACCTCACCCCAAACGCCCTTGGTTCCGCACCGCGCATCATCGAGCTAGGCGCGGGCACAGGGCTCGTGGGCATCGCGCTGCACAAGATCCTACCACGCCTCGGCGTGTCAGCGCCGACGATAATCGCGACGGATTTCCATCCAGCAGTCTTGAAAAACCTGCAGGCGAACATCGCCAGGAACCTCCCCGCGCCCGACCGACACGAGGATCCGGGATCGCCCTCGATCTGCGCCGCGCCCCTGAACTGGGAAACGCCCGACCTCTCGCCGTCCCTGGACCGGCGGGCCGACGTTCTCGTCGCGACGGACGTCGTCTACGACCCGGAGCACGCGGCCTGGCTCAGGGACTGCGCGGCGCGCATGCTGGGGCCCGACGGCGTCTTCTGGCTCATGGCGACGGTGCGGACGACGGGGAAATTCGAGGGCATCGGCGGGACGGTGCGCGCGTCGTTTAATGGGCGCGATGGGCTGCGGAATTCCCAGGGCCGCGCCCTCGCGATACTAGCCGAGGAACGCTTCCCGCGGCCGAGCGGGATCGGGCGCGGGGACGAGAGCGAGTATCGGCTCTTCAGAATCGGATGGGCTCCTCCGGCTTGAGGAGGGCGTAGATGGTTGCGGGGGGAGCTGATGGATAGCGCCGGAAGCGGGCGGTATGGACCTGTTCGTGATGCGCCGGTGATCCTTCCGTTAGAGAAAGAAGCAGGGCTTTCTTTTTCGTGGCTCTTACGAGCATTTCGTACGCGTTATAGAAATACATAGATGATAGATTCTCGGTGATAGATGCTAGATGATAGATGAAAGACGATAGACGATTAGATGATAGATGATATAATGGAGGATAATTCCCCGAACGCGACGGCGAGATATTATGACCGCCATCTCGACGTATAATTCCATGATTCCCAACCTACTTACTCTTTTTCATATCTCCCCATCAGATACCACCTACCTTTTCCCGTGATGCGCTACTCCAACACACGGTCCTCTGATCCCTGGCCCCAATAGCATAGTACGCGGCCGATTTCCGCAACACCTCGACCACTCATCTAGATCAACATCTCAAAGATCCCCTGAGACCACATATCCTATTCAGGCGCAGGCATGATCGCTGATAGACTCATATGCCTGCTCTGTTGCTTCACTGAATATTTGCCTCTTTTTTCTACAGCCGCTGCTTCCGCAACGTACTAGTTATTTACTTAGATAACTGGGCAGATGGAGGTAGTTAGGTACATGATCACGATGTAACCAGTATTAAGCATCGACATGCCCAAGCACCTACCACGCATTCCGATTCACGAGACTCATGGTGACATACCAGAAGATGGGAAAAGGGGCCGCCCGGCCGCGTCTTAGATTTCGGATTCGCGGCCCCTGTTTTATTGCGGCAGTGTCGGCGGTTCCTGCGGCCGACGGCTAGGTACTTACGTGGTCGCAGTGAGGAAGTTAAGGGCTACTAGGGCGAAGAGGATATTGGCCTGGTAGCTGTCCCGGAGATCGTCTTCAGGCGGGTTGGCTTGGCTGAGGAGGTTGCGTTGATGTAGGGTAGAAATGCAGGCGGGTTGAGGAGTATTAATGCGAAAGGCGTATGTGAGTGGGCTGAACATGATTACCACGGCAAGGCTAATACGTAATTACCTCAAATCTTACATCGGCTCTCGCGGATTGGTTATATTGACTCAAATATCACGCAACACAGTTAAAGTATTAAACTGCTACACTAATTACTGGTAATAGTATTACATGATAGTCAAGTTGGACAACTTGATTATTCGTAGTTGCTTACATAGCACTGTAACAGGATACATATATAATAACAAATCTGCTTAAGTGTCCGTTATTTTTACAAGACAGCAGTAGTGATGCATGTATGTTAAGGATAATTACTGTTTTGAATTTTACGCTTGATCTATCGAATGTTGTGCACCGCCATGTGATGACTACATCGTCTGCGCGACCAGCACGACCTCACAAATCTCGGTTTACTTCTTAAGCAGGGTACGACCCAGCCATATCCCCGTACCGATTCTCCAGCCACTTCCACCGCGCAATGGCCTTCTCAACTTGCTTCTTATCATTCACCCACCCGATCTCGATGTCATCCTGGCCCTTTTTATCATCATAGATCTGCGAGATCTTATCATCGATATAGATGACGAAATCATCGATCGACTCAGCGAAGTTACGCAGATCGCTCTGCGCCCCCCAGTCTTCGTCCAGGGCGTGGAGCGGAGAGCGGACCTTATTCTCGACTATGTCGAGGATGAATTCTAGACGTTTGGACGCGTCCTCCTTACTCATCTCGGCCATTTCTTCTAAGACATCGACGCATTGCGATACAATGTGGACCTCGAAAAACTTCTGGATCTGTGCGTAGCTTTCCATGGTGGTCTGAGTTCTCTGGTGGTGACAAATTGTTTCACTGGCTCTGCTGTGCAAATCTTTCGGTTGCTGGTCGTAATCACTTGACTCTGATTGCCTGTGGAAGTTTGGGGAGAGGGTAGGTTATGGAGAAAAGAAAAGGAATCAGTTAGTGCCCATGATTACTGTGCTGTGTGTTTATATAATTGAAGCCCGGGTTGCACTTGTTCGCATGGTGAACGTGGTGTTTGCGGCTAGCCGCCTTGTTAGGCAACGAGGGAGCAGTTTAAAAATAGATAGGACAAGTCGATTGTTTATTAATAAAGAGATTATGGAAAAGTGATGCGACAAAGAAAGGGTATCTTTGTTGTTAATCCTTCATGTTTAGTTCCTATTATCATCGCCTCTACGTGCATTGTACCTTGATCATGCGCTTTAGAGAACCCCGTAATTCCTTTCGAGTCTTATCATAGAATCATGCGGCAGTGGTACGTCCATTCATCATGCATGACGATTTTAATTGAAGCTTCTCCTTGCAAAATCGATCGCCATCCTTGTTTTCTCCGGTCCAAATTGAGCGCCGCTTGAACCGTGACACCTGCGTCGACGTTAAGATCGCGCGTACTTCGCCATTATGGGCCGAATATAGCCGAGGAATTAGGATAGGTATTATAGAGTCCGCGGCATATCTTATAGATACCGACTTATCTAAATGGCTCGATAGTCGCTCCTGGGTGGAGATGCCGGGAGGGATAGGGGTAGGTGGAATTCAAGGGGGTACCTTTCGTACCTGTACTTGCATCACTTCCGACAACACTCCATCCTCCTCCCCTTTTCGCGTGGACTCGTAAGTGACCGTCCCTTCTCCTCCTAGATTTGCACCGCTGGCCTATTACAGGAGCCGATAGCCGGCAGAGACAAGTCCATTGTCATCCGATGAAAATTTGAACGAGTACATCTCAGCAGAACACCACCTTTTTGTGTTGCCAACATAGAAGAAGAGAAATGCGCT